CCCCCCCACTCTCTCCTTATCATGTATTGAAATCTCCTTACCAAAGAACAGCCTCACACTTTCAATGAAAGCCAAAAGAAGTACCAATAGAATTTCAACTGTTAATGTACCTGCCATACTAGGGTAAGGCAGAATTGTACCTGAAGAAGTAAGAACAATATTACAAAACAATGACAAGATACCTTTATCTATTAGCAAGATGTAAGCTTACATGTAGAACAGTATTCTTCGTTTGCAATAGATGTCATAGCTGCCATGTTGGAAGAATTTGACAAAAGATTTTTCAATGAATTCTTTTGTTATATCTTCCAACATGGCGGACATCACTTTTGTTATTGTGCTCTCTTGGGATTGATTGCAAACCAAGAATATGTAGACAGTAAACTTACCTTTGTATACAAATAGGAGCAGTTCTGCCACACAAAACACAACTGAATACCAGGTGTTGAGGTAGAAGAACATTTGTAAAGGCAAAGATGAAAGCTAGAAATTAAGTTAAGGTAGATATAATCCCATCATCTTTCAATAAATTCTACAAAATCTCTTACATCTAGGAATGAAATGATTTATACAATAATAACTGAATAGAGACTTGCGTATTCAAGGATACTTCGATAACTGTTCTTCCTAAAACAAAATAAAACGCAATTATCTAATTAGGATCTTATATTTCGTGTCAAAAGTGAAGAAAACAAACTTTATTTTACCAAGAAAGACAAACTTACCTGGAGCCGCCATTTTGTTTTCGTTTATCTACCGCTGATCAAATAAAGGATATGATGTGGGCTCTTAGAAGCCGTCTAATCGCCATAGCAACGTACTGTAAAATGGCTTCCAAACGTGACAAATTGACTTTGTAACTCATCTATCGTGTTACTAAATGCTTAATAAAGTGATTTTAGGATGTTGAGATCTCCTAGAAATAAGATTGTGGTGTCTTCTTCCATTGATTGTTCGAATGACTTCTCTTTACCGTTGGATTTCTGCTTCAAACATTTGGAAAAATTCCAAGGTAAGAAAATGCTCTGGGTTTTGATGTTTCCAAATGGTCTTTTTGCGAAAGTTTGTTAACGTCGTTCTGGATTAAAAAATCTGTCTTCTTTACTTTCCAGACGTTCTCAAGGAGCCTCCAAGAGGCAAACTAAAGGTATGGCATAAGATCAATTGCATAAACGCTGAACAGTTCTATAAAATTAAAACAATAAGTGTTTCAATTTGTAAACATATTTTATTGTGATTTCAGAAATGTCCAGAGACTGGAAAGTACAAGACGAATGGTATCAAGTTTAGCTACAATCAGCTATCAAGTTACGAGGACTTGAACACTGTACTAGACAGCTTACTAGTGGATCCAAAGTCTTTGGAGTGGCTTGATATTTCATATAATGATTTCACCTCAGTTGACAAGGTAATAATTTAATGTAGGAAGAGTCTTAGTAATCAATAATGGTTGTATGGCTCATTAGCAACTACTGTATTTAGGGCATTACCAGGAAGGGAGGGGGGTTGCTGGCATCAGTACGTCCATGCACAACTTGAAGTGATTACATCATGCTCAAGATATATATAAGTGTTAAAGGATGTATTGGGGAGAGAGGAACTAGTGCTTTTTTCTTCCACTCCCTCCCTGAGAGGCATTCATTTTCATTACCAAAGTGGCATTGCGCAGGCTAAATGTATCAGGAATTTATGATGGGAACTAACAGCAGATTCCACAGTGTGGCTCTTCTTCCACTTGATTCCTATTGGAATTTAGATGTTGACTTTTATGGAGGGAAAAAAACCCTGTAAGCACAGGAGAGAACCAACAAGCAACTCTACTCACATATGACATCAAGCCCAGCAGAATCCAAAACCAGGTTGCATTCAAGAGAGGCAAGAGTTCTCACCACTACACAACCCTTCCCTATGTTGCTATTTATCAGCACATTGTGTAAAGCATTTTTTATTTATTTTGTATCATTTTTTGATACTTTAAGGTAATCCTCGACTATCCAAACCTTAAGATACTGAATCTTGAAGGGAACTCCATAGAAAAGTTATCAGAACTAGACAAACTAGCAGCATTACCAAATCTACAGTCTATCACCATCCAGGGAAACCCCATTGAAAGCACTCAAGGATACAAAAATTACATTCTGGCAAGATTACCTCATCTAAAAAAGTTCAACTCTGCTCCAATTACAAAGCAGGACAAAGCTGGAGCAACACTGTCTTCAAGAGGAAAGCAATGGAAAGGAGCAAAACACACTTGATGAAGCATTTCTCCTTGTAGATTTATTGTATATGGATCATATTTATTGTATATGGATCAAAAATAGATTGTATTTTTACCTACCTACAAATCCTGGGAGATTAGACCAAACCCTAACCTAACTATAACTTCATTTTAACCAAGAGTACTTCCAGGGGTGGATCCAGGTATTTAGAGGGGGGGAGGGGTGACTATTGCAAAGGCCTTTTATCAGGAAAATAAAGAAAAGGRGGTGACTGTTACACTAAAGATGTACTGATAAATTAGAGAAAGGGGGGTGACTAGTCAACCACTGGATTCACCCCTGACTTATCAAAGTTCAGTCATAACAGTACTTTATGATGATTTTCATACACTTTCATACAGCATATCAGTCCTTTTACCTTGTAAAATGCTCTCAGCCTGTTAATCATGTTATACTGGTAGTCAGGGATTAAGGTACAGACATATAAAAAGATTTAAATCCAATCCCTGACTTTAAGCTTTACATTCAGAGCAAACACCAATAAAATCAGGAGCCTTTTTTAACCCAAATTTTTTATTCTTTACAATTTTTTTACATATAAAATTTGTTGATTTGTTGCTATTTGTAAACCTGCAACATTTTTATACAATTGTTATAAAAATGCATATTTGTCATCTAACTATTTTCTTTGTCTATAAATTGAAAATGTGATTTGCTGATTTCTTTTTGAGTTCGATATACGAGAGTCAATTATTATGAAACTTAATGCTATTGTATTGACAAGGATAAAATAATTGAGATGCACTGTTGAAAATAATAAATTACATAACAAAACTCTGCTATAAAAAATTGTTGTCTTTTCTTAATAATATTGCCAGTTTGACTTCTCTGTCTTTTCAAACATCAGAGATTTTAGAAAAATAATTATCTGGAAAGACAACTCCAAGTTCAGACAGTTCGAGTGTCCCCATTGTAATTATGTTTTCTGTGCCTGAGATGAGTAAAACGTTTGTATAGGAAATCGCACGATCTCGAGTACAATTTGGAAATTAATAGACACGAGTAATGTTTTGAAAGTTCTTGTATTTACATGAGCCTTTAGGGGCGAGTGCAATTAAAGAACTTTCAAAACATTACGAGTGTCTATTAATTACAAATTTTACGAGAAGATCGTGGAATTTTTGTTTATAGTTCACTCAACAAAATTTCAGTAAAAAATGTGAAGCGACGCCGTTCATCTTTGTCTATTTGGCGACCGATTTTCAGTCCGTCGCGCAACTGAAATGCATAAAAAAGATTAGTTCTTACGGCTTTAAAATTTTATTTATATGTTTTTTTAAGTACAAAATGATAGAAAATAATTGTTTGACATTGTTTTGGCTGTGTTGCCATAGCAACTTAATTCGGTACTCCTACGGAGTACAATTAACGCAATAATAAATTGTACTCCTCTTGACCAATCAGAGTCGAGTAATTTTGTTGAGTGTACTATAAAGATGCAAATACTGGTAAATGCAGTGGTACAGAAAAACAGAAAAAATACAAAAATTCACGCATTTAATATGTTTCATTGCAAATATCAACATGATGGATTATAAATATTTTCATTAAAAATTTAATAAATTGATTTATTCTTATTACCAAAAGAATTCTGAAAAATATGTTCATTATGTGTGATTGAGGTTGTTGGTTAAGGACTTTGTTGAGATTTCTTCTTCATCGTCATCATCATCATGACCATCACTCCCTGCCTCCATACTACGCATCAACATCACTTCAGCACCATCGCTCAATCTATCTCCTCTTGTCTTTTTGTTGGAAGGGAATAAATTTAAATCTTTTAGACTAAAAACTACATCTTTAAATGCATGCAGTAAAAAGACACCAAAAATAATGGTCAGAACTCCACATATTGAACCAATTGTATCCTTGGTATCCATCGCTTTCCATTCTTTAAATAGTATTGCAGAAGCAATAATTGTCAGTAAAGTGAACAACACATAATATATAGGAGTAACCAGTGAAGTGTTGAATATGTCCAAAGCTTTGTTTAGGTAATTAATTTGAGTAGTAGCACAAGACAGAACAGTTATTAGAAGACTCCAAGCAACAGGATTAGTGATTTGACTGTCTCCTCTGAATGTCTGCTTCAGTACTATACCAACACCTTTACAGCCCATGACAGACAATGATCCAATCAATGAGCAAATTGCTATGTACACCAATATGTTGTTTTTTCCATAACGAGGTCCAAAATGCCATATCAAAACAAATGCACATAAAAGTACAAAGATGGCATATACCACAAAACCTGCAATTCAAAACAAAGATAAATATATCAACTACAAATTTTCAAAGATAAACAAAAATAAAGTACAATTAAATCATTATAATGAATAATATAATCATACTCAATTACTTGAATTCTTTAAATTATTAATTTTTTAAATTCACAGGGTTTTCTAATGACGAGCAAATATATTCAAACTCACCAGGTTCTACCAGTTTTGCTTCAAGTTCTTCAATAGAATCAACTTCCTCTTCTTGTGGGGCATGAATCACAAGTATAGTAGAACCTATGATAGACAAAATACAACCAACTTTGCCATGAAGATTCTGCTTCTCATTCAGGAAATATCCAGACAAAATAGCACTGAAACAAAGAAAACACAGACAAATGTATTTCACTTCCTCATGGAGTAAACATGCAATAAGAGATGCAGTAATGATAAAAAGTTAAATTAGACAATGAGAGATGCAGAAAGAGTTTGTACCTTACTAGGACACTTAGAGCTCCAAGTGGAGTGACAAGAATCGCTGGGGCAAATGCATAGGCTGAAAAATTAGCAATCTCACCAACGATCACTAAAAAAAAAACACAAGGGTACAATAATATTATACAAAGGTAGATAGAAAACCATGAAATTTTCACTAAACTGAACTGGGGTCATTTGAAAATTTATATCAGGACTTTTGAGATGGTATTAACCTTTTGCTCATAACCTGATTATGTTGTACTACTATATTTGGTGAATGATAAATGATTGGAAAAGTTCTCCAATATTTTTGAGGTCAAACTGTGGTACATCAACAAGTAACACATCTCAAAAGTGAAAGAGAAAATAACTTGGGGGAAGCCAAATGAGTTTAGAAACCAATGAGTTTGGACGATAATAAAAGACATTATTTTTACTAAAATAAAATTGCTGTATGACGTTCCAAAATGTGGAATATAATATTATTGACATATGGTAAGTGTATCATTCGAATGTTCATGATATTAAATGTCAAATAAAACTGTACTGTCTACGTGGATCAACTTTATTTGCGCTAATGCCCACTCCTATCCATCGATGGCTCTATATTTTCGCGATCTCAAAAAATGAATGAATCAGGATAATATTGATTTGATGAAACGCTCAGGTTAATTCACAAATCTGAATCCAAGCAGGTAATGAACCCTGTTGATAAGATAACTGTATCTGTCAGACGAAATCCTTACTTGAAATCATTCCTGCCCACCAGAGCCATTCTTTAAGATAAGCATAACCACCTTGACCTAGAAGTATTCAATCAAACAACAGACGAACTCGTTATCATCGCGACGCTGTGACTTCAGTTCATCAAAATTTAATGAAATTATTTTTTCCGTGTAAAGTATGCAAACTTGAGCACTCATTTTTGCTAAACAAGGAAACAAAATCTAACCACACAGCTTTGACATTAATAACCCAATTGGTGAGATATAACGAGAACAGTATGACTATTTAATATGATCCCTACCTGCTCTTACTCCAGATCTCTCAGCAACTCGTAAGAGACCTTTTTTCTTGACAATAAAACTTGTCCCAATGAAGAGACTCGAGCTGATCGCGAGTCCAAGCCCCGTGTAAAAGTCTCTTGAACTCGATGAATTTGGCGAACTGTGATTATGATGAGACATAGGAGACCCTAACAAGTAATCAGCAACATCTGTGTTTAGTATAAGAGATCTAAAACGATGGAAGAGAAGAGTTATAATAAAGTTTTTGTAACTAACCGCTTGCGGTTGTTGTTAGACCCTCCGCCATCTTGATCTGCCAGAAGAATAGCACCCATGCTCCACACGACCACCCAGTGACGTCATATGTTC